GTCCTTCACTAGTGTCGATATAATAGCTTTTTAATTCTATAAAAATTGATTTTCTATCTTGTATATGCATTTTTATTGATTGATGATAATGAAATTTTAAGAAATATTGATTGAAAGTAACTGAATTTATTGAATGATTATTGGTTTAGAATTATAGAAAATTGTTTAATAAAAAATAATTTATTTATAATCCAATATTAGTTTTTTTTTTAAATATTAATTATTTAGGAACAGGGAGAGTATTATGTTTGTAATTAATATATAATATTTTTAATTAATATGTAACTCAGTTTTATTAGTTTTACATAAGGAGTAAATTATATTTGTTGTTAAAAGTTATTACAAAATTCAAAAACAACATTACTTTGAAAATATATATATTAGCTGTTTGTAAACCAGAAATAGCACTATTTAGTTAAGGGGCAATTACAAAAATGCCACTTTTTGTGTGCACATTTGCAAGAATACCACTTAGGGATGTTCATTTACAAAAATGCCAACAATTATAGATTTATAGAGCATATATCTTAAAATTTTAAACCCTAAAACATGTTTTTGACACCTAAAACCCCTTAAACACTCAAAATTAAATCCTAATAGAACATAATTAACCCAAACATAAATAATATAAAAAAAAAAAAATTTTAAAAGTGGCATTTTTGTAAACATTTCAAAAGTATGGCATTTTTGTAAAGTGCCACTTGAAAAGTGGCATTTTTTGAAATTTTTCTTTAGTTAATATTGTTAGTATTTGATTCGGTTTAGGAATTCAATTTAATTTCTTATGTTTTTATTCGATTGTTTGTATTGATTAATACTGTTGAAATATTTTTTTTATAGTTTTGAATCGATGACTTATCAAATAGAAATATGAATTTATCGGGTATTCAAACTAACAATAAAATTAGTATTATTTACATTCTATTGTATTACTTCATTTAAAAACAAAAAAAAGAAATTTCATTCTTGACATTATAGTGAATCAATCAACAAAACAGTTTACCGTAATCAACTAAAATTATGGATTTGGGATTTCTGGTAATACATCGTTCTCGATACTTAGGGCATGACTATGAGTGGTAAATAAGAGTAAATATAAGAGATTTTTAATATTATAAAATTTTTTATATTTAGCCAAACTATTTTTGGGTTTCTAAATATAGAATCTATATTACTCATATTTAGTGGATAAATATAACATCTCTCTCTATCTCTCTTTTTTTTTNTCTCTNTTCATCAATCTCAATACAATTAATATTATAAAATTTATATATTACCTCAATCATATTTACTACCTATAATCATGCTCTTACGTTTGATTATCACAAATCCGAAATCTATAATTTTATTCATAATTTCAACCATAATTTGGATTAACATTGACGATACTTAATTTATACATTCTTTTAGCCATAATTCTATTTGAACTACGGTAAAATTACGATTTACAATGTAATCTGGTTTAAATGACCATAACCTAAACCATAAGAAATTTAGGAGCATTTGGAACATTGCATTTCACCAATTAGCTAGTGAGCTTCACATGATGTAGTTGCCTATATTATACGTTTCACCAATTACTGAGCTTCTCGGACATGTTCGGATCACGTGCTATACAAACTTTGGAGAAGGAAAAGAACGTTGGGTTATCCAATCAGAAAGAAGATGTACAAATCCGTGTGCCATATTAGGTTGAGAGCCAAAAGCGTAAAATCATAAGTTTAAACGGTAATCTAAAACAGTATAAAAATTTTCAACTATAAACAAAAGTTGCAATCCGTTACAGCATAATACAAAATTGTAAGAAAAAATTGTACAAATAAAATTGAATATAACGTTTTTATATCATTTTGTGATTGGT